GAAATGGACTTGAACAGCCGTAAGACGATCATGCACCCACCCCAGCCCTCTGCAAAGCTGCCCATCACACCATCCTGTCCTGGCTTGAGTATGACAGTGCTGCCTCACATTTACAGTGCAACTGGGCATTTCATCCTTCATCCCATCAAAACGTTGTTTTCTTTTTAAGCTTTCCGTAGGGAACCTGACACAACCCTCATCCCCTGGCTCCGAGGCTGTGGTTCCGCCTTATGCCCCTCTCCAACAGAAACGAATGAATGGCTCAGTCTCCTGGCGTGTGTAACACCAACTCTTCCTCATGGCTGCAGTGATGCTTACGGCTACTGCAAAGCTTCCTACTTCTGTGTTCTTGCATCTGTTGTTGTTGCGCACGCAGCTTTTGGGGTGTGTGTTATCAGGCAATCTATATCGAGGTGACTTCACTCTCTCTTTGCAGTAGATAAAAGTTCTCAAACTACGTGCAAAGGAGAAAAAAGGCGTATGATGGTGTCCTGTACAAGGTGCGAGCCAGCATTGCAGAACCAGTTCCTTGGGTCACACCGAGTGTTTTTTTTAGAATGAGACAAACCCTGATGGGATGTGGCTGTGGAGGAGAATTGGGGCAAGCCCTTTCTCCCAGAAGGTCATGAGGCCATACAGAAGTTTTAGCCAAATAAAGCGTCTCCATTTCCAGCTGAGGCACCCTGTAGCACAAGTGGCCACCACCCACAGCAGCTGCTGGGCGGGAGGATGCTCCCCCTCTCCGGTGGAAAAGGAGCCAGCACCACCTCCCAAGGCAGAGGCAATGTGCCTGTGCAGAGTCCCCACGTTTGTAACATCTGTTCAGCGCTAGCCCAGTCCCAGGCTGATATGACACGCGTTATGAGGTCATTACTGTGACTGCACAGGAACTGGTGGGGGTTTTTTTGGGGGGTGGGGAGGGTGGTTTGCACAGTGAGTGGGTCAGAAAACGTGTTTGCCTCCGCCGAGCATGAAGGTTGCTTTGAATAAGGGTTCAAAAAGATCCAGCAATCCAAGTCCTGTCTGTCAAATTCAGAAAGGAGTTGGAGATGTTTCTGGAGGAGAAGAAAATACCAAGACACAGGCACTATATATAGACGTGCCTGTGAAGGTGGCGACGTTGGAGTGCAGGGTATTTTTATCCCAATAGAGGTGTTATCTGTCTATCTCCCATGAAATGCTGGAGGGGGCTGTTACAGCACTCAGTTCATGCAAAAAGAAAATAGCCAAAGTCACAGTTAAATTTGTGTGGTCTGTGTTTTCCAAAGGCAAGCTGTCATACTCGGAATTTTTCTCCTCTGGCTCACTGCCCTGTATTTGTTGCATGACAAAGTTCATCATCCGAGTAGCTGTTTAGTGGCCTGGATGGATTTTTGCTGTGTGTAGGGTACAGTTTAAATTTGCTACTCATCAGAGAAGTACGTGAGTTTTGTGTATACCTCAGCACACACAATCTTTCTGCTCTCACCAGTGGCAAAGCCGTGTTTGGCTTACACTGGGGCCGAAGCCAGATAAGAAGGATACTTCAGCACAAGACGTAACCACATCTGGCACATGCCAGGAGCGGTTCCTAAGAGTTCAAAGGCTTCAGCGTAGATTATTTACGCATTCACCTCCTAGCAAAACCTTTTATTCTTAAATTCCAGACAGTTTATTATGTGGAGATCCTGAAAATCCAAAGTCTTGTCCTCTCTGCATAGATTAAAGATCTTAAAACCTGGCCAGATGTCCCGGGAGCAGCTACCGGGCAGTGCCAGCGGGCTCTGCGCAGCACTGCCCGAGCGGCTGCTCCCACGGCGGCTGCTCAGGGCCCGTCTGGTCCCTGCACAGGCCCAGCCTGGGTGTAGATATGCACGTACGTGCCCACGTGCGCAAACCCAGCATGTGCCCACCCCGTGTTAGCACATAGGAAGCGGATTCAAAGTGATTTAAATGCTAGCAAATAAGAAATAGTTCGGGATGGGCTGTAACTAGAATATTCCCTGTTTTTTAAGGACTGGCTCTGTGAAATTCCCAGCTGCAAACTGAGTATTGTATTACTGCTAATTCAGCAGCTCTGCTGGGGCCTGCTCATGCTTCCCTCTCAGAATGATACGAGTTCTTGGCTTGCTTGCTGAAGAGGGGATTTATTTTACTTTTTTGGCTTCATGGATGCTCATGAGGATGAAGAGCAAAAAGCTGGCAAGGAAACATCTCTGCTGAGAAGAGAAACTTTGATCAAACTTGTGATTTTCTCAGCTCCATGGAGTAAAGGAAGTTTATTTATAGAACGGCTTTTTTGGTAAAAAGAAAACATGTCCTGTATCCTGCTTTTGATGGCGTATCTGGTTGCAGTGCAGCATGGTGCACATTAATTTTATTTGCTTTGTAGCATGAGGTGGTGTAGAGTACTAGTGGTAATTAGCAGTCTGTGCAGATTGGGGCAGTCTTTCTTTGGAGAGCACACGACCTTCCACTGCAGTTGCATATGAATACTGCATTTAAGAGGACCCAGGACGGCGACTGCGGTGGGATTAACTGTGGTGGAGCAGGATTGCACGATAGCTGTTCTCACTGTGATTCTTGACAAAAAGCATCTGCTCTGACACTCAAATTATTTGGAGGCCTCTGCTCAGCCAGGTTACTTCAGATGAATACCCTGAAACTCAAGCACTCCATGGTGTAGGGAGACAACAACTCATCCTTATTACTGCCTTGTTTCTCTGCACCGCACAGGTACTTCCCAATGAGTCCTTGCTACTGCCAGATGAAGAGCTGCTATTACCGGGTGCCACTTCAGGGGAGGGTCCGTAGGCATTAATATCCCACCAGAGCAGCTAAAGTAACGTGTGGTCCCGTCTGCATGTATTTACAACCACCAAAACCAAAATGTGACTAATACATTGCATTCTTCACCTTGCAGCCGAGGATTCCAAAGTGTTTTATAATTAATTAACTAATTAAGTCTAAGAGCGTTTCAGTGTAACGTGTTTTATATCCCTTCACTAGAGAGGCATAGGAAGTCAGAGGGCTCTATCAGTGCTGTGCCTCAGTGCTGCGTGGAGCTGGTCCGCAGCCACAGCCCTCTCGCTCACTACTTCTGCCGATTCCCAGGAGTTTGGTCTTAAAACACTTTTGGGAGCTGCAAACTGATGGATGTTGCCATTATGTAGTATCAACAAGTTCCCACCTGTCCTGAGAACTAGTAAAAGAAATGTGAAACGGGTGAAAGAGAAGAAAAACAGGCAAGCGTATTTGTGCTTTTTTAGCTGGGGTTGAGGGAGTCCAGTTGGAGAAACTACAAACCTTCTCACTTTCAGCCGAAATGCCACCCGTAGTTACAGTGGCTGAAAACTGTCACTGTCTGATGGTTCGTACCTCACACGAATGGCATTGGCAACTCCCCACAGCTCCCCTGGGGAGCTGGTTCACAGTGAAGGGCCTCGCTGGCTGCAGCTCTGCCGCTCACAGGAGCGGGCAGCCCTGCTGTGAAGCACCATCACCCATGGCAGAGGCTGCCGAGCTACACGGGTCACTGCGGAGGGGCCGTCTGCAGCCTGAGGACTGTGCTAGCCCCCGCTCTGCTGTCCCACCTGGCCACCGCTCACCTAACGGGTGCTGCAGACAGGAGACCGCTCCTGGGCTGTGCTGCATCACCCACCCGCCCTTACTCCCCCAGCACCACTGGAACAGCATCGCTCAGCGCCTTTGGGGACTCAGCTATGTTTCATCTAAGCTAAAGCATATTTTCTGGCCACAGAGATGCACGCAGAAGCAGATGGCCTCTTCCAGGCCAGCTTTCCTGCATCGCTCACCTGGCCCAGGCACTGCCTCTGTGCACGGGCAGGCATGCCTGCCTGCCTGGCTGATAAGCTGTGGGCCAGAAAAGGCTCCCAGGAAAGGGACTCACTCCCAGGGCCACACTACCGCTGTTTCCAGTGGGAAAACCTCAGAGGGGAGCTCCTGAGAGAGATCCAGTGTTATGTGTGATCCATCCAAGATGACTTATCAACACCACAGGGATTCCCTGGGATATGCACGCCAGCTTGTACCCACAGGACATAGGGGGTACTCTACAGCTCCACAGCAATACCCGCACGCATGTACCTCTACAGCACGCAGGTGAGAAAACCTGTCCTATGTCTGCCTGGAAGCTTATAGCTCTGCAATTCTGAAAAATGCTCTGAGATTTAACAGCCATTTGAGTCCAGCTTTGGAATGTTGTGGAAAGGTTTGTAGAGACATTGTAAAGAAGAACAGTTCAGGCGGGAGAAATGGAAATCCAGGAATATAACGCAGGAAAGGTGAAGCCACACGCCAGTCTCTACCCCAAATTAAACCTGAGCCAAGCTGCTTTAACAGGTCTAATATCACGTCTTCATTATTCAAGAAAAGCTTTTGTAGTGTTAAAGAAAATGACAGAAATAACTTAGAATTTTTAAATTAGCCTTGTAAATCATCCCTAGATAAAGTTAGTAAGTAAGTCGAGTTTAATGTTTTTCATCAGTGAACCTCAAAGTATTTTGCCAGGGACTTAAGCATCATTACACACTCTCCTTCCTTTTCAACGACTGGGGAAACTGAGGTGCAGCAATGGGAAATACCTTTGTTGACCTCTGAGAGTTACAGCTTTGCAATTACTGATTTAATTGCTATCAGTCAAAAATCAGTATATTCCCCAAAATTTGAAGTGCCTGAAATGCGCCCCCCCCCCCAAAAAAAAAAAAAAAAGTCAGGAAGCACCTGAAAACTCCTGGGGAGAACAGCGGCTGTGAAGTTTTTGTAAGGAGAAGGGCAAGCTGGTTTTGTCTGAGCCTGAGAGTCAACACAGTTATTGTTGTGGTGAACTCGAAATAGTCAAATATCACAAGGAAATAGCAGCCAAATTTGCAAACAAAACGATCTCTCTTACTTCAGACATTTCTGCAACACTGCTAACAGGAAAGTTTCACAGCTCTTGGCACACAAGAATAAAGCTTTCTGTGCTGACGGACAGAGTAAAGAACGTGGACCCTCCTTACCCCTTCCATGTGGATCCTGGGATTTGTCGCCAGCCGGTGCTGATGAAGTTGCAGCCCCCTGGGGACTCTCCTGATGGAGGCAGGGGAGGACAGGACCCCCGACCTCTGGATCGAGCCAAACCTGGTAACGTTTGGTCCACACCTGACTCCATCCAGGAGGCGAATGAGGAGCAGGTTGGAGGGCAGCTGCTCGATGCTGCAGAGGACAAGGGTCCTGCACTCGGGGCACCTGAGCTCCTTCTGGGATTTCAGGATCCTCTGCAGACAGGGCTTGCAGAAAGTGTGCTGGCAAGGTAGTACCTTCGCTGTGGCATCGAGCTTTTCAAAGCACACGGGACACTCCAACAGGTCAAGGAGAGCTAAATCATCCATCTTCAGTGCAGAGCTCTGTCACGAGCGGAGCTGGAGCCATCCACACGCCACATCCACTGGAGCGGGCTGAGACGCCTTCCTGTGCCCGTGAGAACCGCACCAAAATCCTGGGCTCAGACAGCTATCCTGCACGGAGGGAGAGGGAGGAGGGAAAAAGAGCAGAACTTGACTGCTGGAGTATGTAATACATCCCACCTACATTGCAAAGCAGTGCCTCACCAGCCAATTTGCAAATGTATACTTTGCGCTCACATCCAAGTTTGAAGTGAGTCACTTGTGACTCAGTACGAGCAAGGGGACGGCGTTCAGGCTGACGCCAGAGGCAGGAGCCCCAGGTCCTGCTCGCTGGGCAGACAGATCCCGTAGCTCGAACGGGGCAAGTTGACTCCTCTCTGCCTGCCAGGGCAGCGCCGGCTGCAGGACAGGCATGCTCAGCCTTACGCTGTAAACAAGGCTGTCTTTAATGCCCCCCGGTCTGCGGATCATAACTGACACGACAGTAAAAAATTTACCAGCTCAGGAGATAAGAGTCCCTGATAAACATCAGACTGGACCTGTTTATGCTCGGCTCTGGCTGAAAGCAGCCACTCGCTGCACACATCCCTTGCACACCTACACGCCGCCTCGTTTTTCAGATCGGTCCCAATTAAGCTTGCTCCCTACCCGTTTTGACAGCAATTCTATAAAAAGTGCTTCAAACACAAACACTCTCTGGAGGTACCTGGCAGAGACGTGAGGCGCTCCACAGTGCCATCCTCGCCCGGTTTGGCTGCCTCAGCTCTCTGAAGCAACCCAAGATGATTATTCCTCCCACAGCCTGAAGTCACTCAACCTGTTCAGCTCCCCCGGTGCTGCACGCTGGTTGAGACTGAAGCGCACACCACATTGGGATTCAAGTCTGGGCTTGTGGCAGCTGCACGGCCCCGCAGCGCAGATGGGACGCCCTGCGCCCGCCGCGTGCCAGAGGGGCTGAAGGGGAGCCTTCGTGTGGGAGCTGGTGCGGCGGC